CTGCAGTGAGGCTGGGCCCGCCCGGCGCTGGGTGCCCCCGGGCGGCGTGGGGACCCCTGCGGGCCCCGGCGCAGCGCGGACAGGGGCTGGGAGGGTAGTCGGGGGTCCGGCAGCGGGCGGTGCCTCCTGCCCAGCAGGGGTCAGCGCTGGGCCCGGCTCTTGGTCTTCCTGCGGAGCCTGTTTACCGCCGTCGCAGTCGGGCTTAACGGAGCTTCATCTGCTGAATGGCCAGAGGCCTTTTAACCCTGAGTCCCTTATGCGCGGGAAGGAAGCTAAGGCTGCATGCAGGCGGTGCTGTGTCTGTATAGGAGGAATGAGTTCAGGGTTCTTTCTGCTCCAAATTGAAGTACGCGGTCGTTCTCAAAAGCAAACAGTTTGATAAAAGGCATTCCTTTGGCCTGCCGATGCACAATAGGAAGAGTAAATTTTAGGTAGCTTAAATCAATGCAAACATTCTGTGAAATACTCTATTGGTGTATAGAATCAGTTAATGTAAGGTGAATGTTCATATCTCGGTAACTAAACTTGTAGGGGTGTCTCCAGTGCTTTCTGTTGACTAGGAAGCTTCATTTGACCACAAGGCTGCTTAATGCTGTAGTTATTTTGGTAATAATAAATTATTTCCATTAAAGGGTAATGGACCAGTAAAAGTTACTGGAGAAATCCGTGGCTTGACAGATGGGGATCATGGCTTCCATGTCCATGAATTTGGTGACAATACAAATGGTAAGATGTTTATCCAAGCTTTTGAGTTACAGTTATAATGTGATTACTCAGCTTTAAAGAGTTTCTTTTAGTGTTGTAGCAGCAACTAGTATAGGTGTACTCAAGTCTCATGACTGGAAATCTGTGCTGAGAAATAATGACACTTCCAAAGGAATTGCTTCCCGTTTAATATTTTGAACATGTTTAGGCTAGTATTCAAGATCTGACATACTGAGCACTAACCTAGATCCTTTCATAACCAAATATTAAGAAATAAAGAAGCTTTCAGCTGAGCTCATAGTGTTCTAGAATGAGTAATCTTACTTTATTGAACTTGTAAGTCTGTAGTAGGTTACTTACCCCCAGAGAATTAATAGAACATCTAACAGGAGAGTAGATATTTCATTGTTAGTGACTGCTTCCTCTGATTATAGGAGGACTACCTTGGTGTAGTGTATAAGCAACAGATTTAAAGTTGTTACTGAAAAAAAATAAATTACTTTCAATGGCTGTGCACTGTTTCAGGGTGTACCAGTGCAGGTTCCCACTTCAATCCTGAAGGCAAGCAGCATGGTGGACCAAGTGATGCAGAACGGTGAGTTTAATGTGCCTGGTCTCTTACTGGGTGGCTGTTCCACTCAGCAGCCATCTTGGTGCTACTTCATGCTTGGGAGGTCACTTAATGGGACGATAGCAGAAGAAAGATCGTAATTCCTGCAGGACTCCTGGGGTGACTTAACAATGGCTCTGATAACTGTACAGCAATTTAAGACACCTTGGCTCCAAAAAGTGGGTAAAATCTAGTCTTTGGTTTTATCACAGCTTGGGGAGAGGAGGAAATAAAGGCTCTTCCTAAGTGAGGGTTCCTCAGCATATGAGGGGGGGAGGAAATTCATGTTATTTGGCCAGTAGCTGTTTGCTTCTGTTTCAAGGCCAGTTTTTGACAGTGGGCCCTGAACTGTCAGTTGTTGAGCTGTATGCAGGCTTGTCATGTGGCAGATCAGGATCGTTACTGGAAGGTGCTGAGGCTTCAGGGGAGATTGCTAGATGAGTACAGAGCTGTGTGCTCAGGCATGGTGGCTTTTTACTGGGTGTGCTGGGCTGTTCTTAGACTGTTGGCTTAGGTACTGCACTGCCTGCAGCTGTGCTGCTATGTGTCAGTACAGCAGCTGATGCTTATGCTGAATATCTGTGTATCTGTGGGAGCTGAGACCTAGTTCTTTCCCCTGGCAGCAGTTTTCACAGTCCAGTTACTTTCAGGGAACCCTTGTGTGTTTGCGACCTGGTGCCTGATCAGCTGGTTTAAATGGTATGCTGTCTGGCTTTGGATACTGAAAGGGGGCTGCACAAGAGTTGAAAGCCAGTGTGGGAGTGAGTGTCAAAGACAGGCTGGTCTTGCAGAGGTCTAGACTAGCCTTGGGACCAACTTGGAATTGCGATTAGCCTTCAAATGCTCGTTTATGTCCATAACTGCACCTTCTGTGGCTGATAAATTCATACTTGAGTGATCAGTTGCATGGCAGACCAAGCAAGCTGGCTGTCAGCCAGCTCTCTGGATGGCAGAGCAGCATCAAGGGGTGTGCTCCCAGTCTTCACTGGCAGCCAACTGCTCCAGTGCTAAAGGTCAAAACTCCATGAAGATCATGGCTTCTGCTGGTATAACCTGCCTGCTCAGGCAGCTGTGGGCTGGGGAATTCCTTACGAGGGTATAGTAGATTGTGTCTTTATCAGTGCACAGTTGAAATAATTGGACTGAAACTTCCTGGAAGCTTAAATCCAAGTGGATTCCTAAAGGGAAAAGTGCCCTTGACCTGATTTTATAGGACTTGGTTAAAAATGTGAAATTGGCTTTCCTGCTGCCTGAGCAGCTGGTAGTCATCATTCAGTGAGTGAGCTGGTCATGCTGCATTTGTGGAGAGCTGTACAAACAAGTTGGTGTTCAAGGTTCTGAATCTGTATAGAAGAGACTTGCAGAACATCATCAACTTGTCTGAGTGAATGGTTTATTTGGGGCAGATGTGTAGGAAACAATATGCCAGAATGTCAGTGAAAACTGAACTGCTTGAGGCTTAAGCCTTAAGGGAAGTCCTGGTAGAAATGTAGCTCTGGCAAAAACTGTGTGGTAGGGTATAATGCCAAGTGCATGGGAAGATGGCAGGTAAACTCGGTCATCCCTGCTACTGATTAGAACTTAGCTAGCATGTGGTGCTTCTTCCCCTTTGACCTGTCACTTGACAAACTGCTTTTACTAATCCTGTTTAAACCTGAAGCCTGCAGCTGCTTGTAGAATAGCTGATTTGTGATAGGCACTAAAAGCTCTTAATGATAGTGGCAGTGTTTACACCAAACCTTGTATGTGCAGGAAAGGTTATTTCACCTGAGAGACTTTCTTTGAGCAGAGGGTGATGCCATCAGCATGGAGGAATTATTGGCTAGAAGAGTTGTGCACTATTGGCTTGGCTTGTTAGAGTGGTCACTTCCCCAAAGTGCATTAACCTTTCAGTTTCACGTTCTACCTAGGAATGAATTTTTATCTTCCCTTGAACTAAAGGAGTCAACCTTGAACACTTCCACTATTTTGACTCATAGTGGTAAATAAGAACATATGTGCTGTGTAAGGTAGATGAAGTACTTGAGTGTAGTAACTATGGGTATTGTATTGTCCAGGCCATTGCTTAGAGCTTTCAATTCAACCAAGTTTTCTATGAGTTTCTCTGCATCTTTATGTAGGCATGTGGGAGACCTTGGCAATGTGACTTCTAAAGGAGGAGTGGCAGAAGTGGCAATAGAAGATGCCATCATCTCTCTTAGTGGACCACATAGCATCATTGGACGTACCATGGTGGTAAGTGTCTTGGGGCCTACTTGGATGCTTTAAGAACAGTCTTGATAGTGAAGGGGGACTCTGATGCTGGAGGCCAGTCTCTGGTGTTTGTTATAGAACTTGTAGTGCAGGCTTTCCAGTGTGGGTATTTCTTTGAAGCCCTGCCTGAAAGTCCTCTGTGAATAGCACTTCATTGGTGTGAGGTCTTAAATTTTCTGCCTGCCTTACAAAGATGTGCCTCTCCACTTAACATTGCTGTTTCCAGCTGTGAGTGACTAGAGCAGCCTGACTTGAGGAAGGAACTGGCAGTCTGGCACAAATGTCCCTGAAAGGCATGGCAGTGGGCACTGTTCACTTGCACTGGCCTGGTAGCTGCTGGTCTAACTCATGCTGTGGCCTCCTGGGGAAGGAGGGAGGCAGAGCCTGAGTGGACTTGGCCACCTGTGAGCATTGTTAATTTTATTTCCCTGGGGACTCTGGTGTGTGCTGAGACCACTGTACTCCTGGATGGAACAGGCTTGGACTGATGGCCAAGGCACTGCACCCTCAGTGCAGTGGGCAGCCCTGTGTTGGAATGGTGACCTTGGACATCAAGTCCAAGTCTGTTCTTGGACTAGTAGTAACTTCTTGAAACATGGGGGTTTGGTGACTTAGAGTTTAAACACATTCAGCTGAAGGCAGCTTATATTTTTAGATAAGTTTAGTCTTTAAGTTTTTAGTGTGAGTATCAATTTGTCATTCAGCACTGCATAACTGCAATTGGTTCTCTGCTGTGTAAACACGCCCTACTGGTAGCTGGCAATACGGCTTTTCACTGCTGCTGCTAATGTCAGTTGTGAAAAATGTTGATTCTTGGGTTATGCAATAACATGAATTAAGATATCTTCAATTCTCTTTTAGGTCCATGAAAAATGCGATGACCTGGGTAGAGGGGGAGATAATGAGAGCAAATTAACTGGAAATGCTGGCCCTCGTTTAGCTTGTGGTGTAATTGGAATAGCAAAGAGTTAAGTATTGTACCTGAAATGCTTAAGATGAGTGGTGAATGGGCTGTATTCCATTGCAAATGCTGTACTTGCCTTTCCTTGTGCAAGCAAAAGATTTATCACTTAATCTCATTACTACTCTGCATTCTGAATATCACTTAAACTGGTAAAGACTGACTTAATTTTGTATGATGTATGTTGCAATTAAAGTGACCCTGATGGAATGTCTCTGTAGTCTTCTGCTAAAGCACCTGCTGTAACCATTAAGTATAACTTTGCTAACTGGAACCCCCATCTGTGTAATGGAAGATGTGTTAGTAGTGGTCACACCCTGAGCACCAGAACTTCTAGAACATACTGTGTGGTTTGGAGGATTAGCCTTACAAGCTTTGGCAAGCCAGCTTGCTGGAGGGCAGTAGGCACTTGTGTGTACTGGGGCTTCCTCCTGGCAAGGTTGCAGCATTTGTAGGTTTCAAACTTGTGTAATAAACTTGCTGGGCAAATACCTTGGTCTTGCTGTCTGTAAAAACCAAACACCAGACCCCTACCTGCAGACTTGCTGGCAGGGAAAAGTCATGTCAGTAGTTAATTTGCTGGATGGCAACAGCATCCACCCAGTTGCTTCTGGCCAGTAACCTGGGAGCAACAGAGATCTGAGCTCAGTGTCTGTCTTGTGCTGTCATGTGTTACCCTGTGTTCTGTGGCGACAACTGGATACCACCTGCATGTTACAGCCAGGGGTTCTGTGTACCCAAGAATGATTGCTGCTTTGCAGAAATACCTTCTTGCTTTAAAATGTGATGCTTGTGACACTCATGTGACTGCAGTGTGTGTGTGTGGTGGGGAAGCCTTAAGCACATGAAGTGGTCTGGCTCCAGCATGTGCCCTTGTGTCTCATCTGGTCCTCTGGCTGGGTGGGCTGGGTTGTTCCAGGCTGGTGTGCAGTGAGTATGGATGTGTTGGTGAGGACGGCTCCTTTCCTTGAGCTATGCAGGAGAGTCTGGTGAGGAATAAGCCTTTCCTTAGAAAGGAGATACATAGCCAGAAGTTCCATATTTACATGTATATATGCAGTGTACTAGTGTCACCTTTCATTTTCTTCTATGTACCTCTTAAACACAGACTTCCAAGTCCTTAATAGAGAAAATTATTAATTTTAATGAAGCCTTGTATCAACATTCCTTTATCTTGTACATAAGAGATATTCATGGAAGTAGTTGGTTGTTCTAGACACCCAGATTCCAGTGTAGCACATTACAAATGGCTTTTGGTAGTATAGCAAGAATACTGTAAAAACACTTTTAAACTTAAATTCATTGCAGGTGGCAAATAATTGTGTGTACAGTCTCTATGCACCTGTACCTCTTCCAGTGGATTAGTCTAGGCTCTGATCAGCTGCTCCAGCAGAATTAAGACAGTGACTGCACCTTTCAGCTCCCTCCTTAAGCACCAGGGGATGCTGAATACCCACAAACACCACCATCACCTCTGCATTTCTGAAGTTCACTTCCCTAAGGGAGGAAAAAGGGCAAGTACCTGCCAACTGTAGTGGAAGGGGAGCTCTGGCAGCTCTACTGCTTGCTGCCTCTCTGGCCATTCCCAGCACTGAACCTTGCTGCTTTGGAAGCTGGGTGTGTGATCTTTACTTTCAAACCTGTTTTCTCAGGTGGGGCTCAATGCCCAGGGGTGTACTCACCTAAAGTCAGTGCTGTACTGAAGGACCTAGAAATGCTTGGTTTATGTACAAATCATTGTAACTGGCAGGCATAGGCTCAGTCACCAAGGTGTTAATTGCTAATGCTGTATTGCCTTTATCAGTAACAGATGCCTGCACCAAGCTAATTCACCTTTATGTACAAATTTCTGGCTTGGCTTATTTTAAAGACAGAAATACAGAAGCTGTAGGGCAGGATACACTTACACTGGTGATGCTGTAAAGATGATGCATTGATAGTAGGTCTGTTACATAATCGCTGTTTCAGAAAGCAGTAAGTTGTTTGGCAAAAGACATCCAAGGTTTTCCTAGGCTTTGTTTTCAAATTCCTAATAGGGGAAATGGAGAGAATGTGAGGTGGCATTTGTGTGAACAAATAAGCCTTCCATCTCTTTCATTCTTGTCTTCAGATCTTTTAATAAAGTGTATTCACTCAAAAAAAAAATTTCTACCTCCTTAACAGAATTATGGCAGTTTTTACTAAGACAAGTCTTAAACATAAGCGTCTGGCTTTGTATGAAAAAGGTTAGTTCTGCTGGCCCAGCATGAAACAAACATTAAGGACACAAGTTTTAACACATGGAAGTTGAGTTCACTACAAGTATGTAAACAGGTTTTTTTTTCTCTCTTTATTCTGCTATTGCAAGAACATAAAAATATATGTCCTCTCCCCAGTCCATAATGCATTTGCTTTCCCACCCTCCGCCCTCCCCCAGAAAAAATTCCCTTTGCCGCAGAGCAGCTATGAAAAAGTACTGATGTAAGAAAGCAGCTGCCCTTCACTCAGGGAAAAAAACCCCAACTTTAAAAGTAGAACACACCTATATCAAGGAGAAAAAAAAAATGCACAGGATTCATACAATTTTTCCACTATGTTTCTAGAATTAAACAAGCTTCAACTGAAGGCCCAGTGCCACTGGAGTCTGGCAGCCTGGTGTGTGGCTGATCGACGAGCGAGTGCATTTCGGGGCAGAACTGCCAGGGCTCTGACTCCACTCGCTGCAGCGCGGCCGTGTTTCAAAACTCTGTGCCTGAAGGGCCAGCCACCAAAAAATAGTATTTGCCCTCTTAAAATTTGACAGAATTACTTAAGTGATATGAAGATGGTAGAACTTAACACAAATACAAGAAAATGCACTCTTTGTCCATCAGTCCAATAGGTACAAGACTAGGTGGGTAAAAATTATAAACCTACCTCTTGCAGGGTTACAGGAGGTAGACATGGTTAACACAGCCAGCAGTAGCAGCCCAGATTCGTGTGAATGAAGAGGCAGCATTTTAAAATCCTCGCACACCCTCCCACCTCCCTTCTTTTCCCAGCCCCATTTAAAAAAAATAGCATTTTATATTGTGTTTTGGTGTCTTTGATTTCTCTTTCACCCCACTTTTCAAAAAGCATCAACGAATAACAAGTACAAAAGATGCTGAACCGGTGTGCTTCCTGGCCCACCACACTGTAATTTTATAGTATCACAAGCAGAGCAGGCTAAGTATGTCTGAAGGTGTCCACTTTTTTTAAAAAAAAGGCTAATTAGGGCAACATTTACCACAGAACCAGTTGGAGGGGGGGAAAAAAAAAAAAAAAAGAAAAAAACCTGATTGCATTGCAAACACTAAACAGTTATATCTTCAATTAACATTTTAAAACCACTAGCTTTTACCTAGTATGGTCAAGTAGATCATTAAAATGCAGCAATCTAAAAATCAAGATGACTATTACAAATAAAAATTTGCTTCTGTGAATAGCTACACAAACAGATGTATTTCTTTTAACAAATATAAACAAAACAGTCTAATTTAGACTCCAGTACAGCATTAACAGTTCAAACTTTAAGATGTTGAACACTCCTTTTCCACTTCAGTGCAGTGTAGGAAGAATAGCACACGTTAAAGTTTGTTACGAAAATAGAGTTTATTAAAAACACATCCCTATTGTTTTGAGGAGCTTTCACCGTTACCTTTTCTTAAATTAAAAAAAAAATAGAAAGCACTTCTACTTCTGATTTGTAAACTTTTTAAAGTCAAAACTTTAAAAAAGTTACAGCAAAAATGGGTAATATTTTAATCATATCTTCAGTATTTTGTGTTATGTTGTGGCTATTTTAAATAGAAGGGAAGCAATCAAATTGCTTACAATTCCCCGCCAACTACTGAGGGGCTGTGATAAAAGCAGAAGCAAATATAATACAGCAGACTGTACAACTCTAAAGCTCTACACTCCAACAAATGTCACTGTCGTCTTTCGACAACTTCCAGTCGCTAGCGAGGCGCCTCCGCCACTGAGCCCATATCCTTTTCCGCTTGTTCCACAGATGAGGTAGCCTCGGATGTTAACTCTTCAACAGGTTTTACACCTGTAGGTTCAGACTCTCCCGCAGCAAGTTCTGAAACAATGTCTGCGTCTTCCATTTTGCCGCTATGAGATTCGTGATTTTTGTCGCCATCTGCCCTGTCTGTCATCTCCGGTTTTTCCTTTCCTCTGTTTTCTTCCTTGTCTCTACGAGACTCCCTATCTCTCGAATCTCTCTCTCTGTCTCGATGGCCACTGGACCGCCTGTTTCTGTCCTCCAAGTCTCTGTGTCTGTCACGCTCGGGGCTTCTTCGTCCCCAGTCTCGCCTGTCACGATTACCAAGTCGCTCGTGATCTCTGTCATCGTTGCGGTTACCATAGCGCTCGCGATCGTTTTCTACCCGATTTCCAAAAGATCTCCTTCCAAACCTTTCCTGGTCTCTGTTAGGTGTGAACGTCTGCCTGTCATTCCTAAACTGCCTCCCATCTCTGTTATCCTCGGGTCCGCCCGGCCCCCCGCTTCCCGGCATCCCTCCAGGTCTCACAAAGTGACCTGGCGGTGGGAAGGGGGTTTTCATTCCGTGGGGGGGAGGCATCCCAAAGCCCCCTGGCCCCGGCGGGGGCCCTCTGTGCATCATGTGGGGAGGCATGTGTCGCGGTGGCATCAAGGGGAACCGCTGCAGAGGAGGGGGTGGCATTCCTGGCGGTCGCTGCAGTGGTATCAAACCAGGCCGGGCACCCAAGAGGCCGGTGGATGGAGTCTGCAACCCAACAACAGGGGCTGGTGGGGGTGGCGCAACTCCTTGAGTGCCTGAAACAAACACACACATACAAAAGTAAAATCAGAGGCTGGCAGGAGGGGGAAAAAAGTATTTTCATCATTTAAAAAACATTTGGAAATTATCTCATGAAATGAGCAACACCTGTCTCTTATACACAT